ATATTATACATTTAAGTCCAATCGCAACACAGAAAACAATGTGAAGAGGTGTATTTAATTTCAGTGTTGCCCAGCAGAGGACAGCCTCGACCTGCCAATACTAAATAAACAGCAACAGCACTGAAATTCAACACACGTCTTCACTTTGATTTTAATGTAAAAAAAAAACAGTTAATTCCATTATTGGAGAGAAAAAGCTCAATTGTCTTAAACGTGTTTAAATGCATATAACAATGTGTGTTGTATTTATCTCAATTTCTTTGTTTAAATGGTTATTTAGGCTATTTCCACACAGTTGAATATCGGCTCTCTCCAGGTGAAGTTACTGGTTAGAAGTAGTTAAATAACATCTTGCATATGGTTTCTTCATGTTGTGGTCTCAACACTGACTCTGTTCCCCAGGGTACACTAAACTGCCATTTAAATGGTTTGACTACCTCAGAGAAACGGGTTCAATAGCTGCTCCTGTCAAGCTCTTTAACAAGGTAGGCTTCATCAGTGGTTCCTCCACCGTGGTTGTCCTTATTAAGATCTTATCAATCTGAGTTTCAATGTCCTCTGGTACTGTTTTTCTGGTTATTAATAATAGCAGCAGCATACCACCTCATCTTAAACATCACAAATGCGTTTAAAAACTACAGCTCATGAATTGAGAAAGTTGTCAGTAATGTAAGTTGTAACCACTCAGGTGTGCTCTCCTGTGCTGATTGTGCAAAACCACTGGTGTGGTCTTTTAAAGGGTCCCTTTAGACCTTTATTAACTCAAGTACCACTCACTAGATTTCTTTCTGCTGAAGCTCCAGAAAAGATATTGCCTCTTATTTTTTCCCTTTGTTCTGTCTGATTAATGAGATTCAGGATTTATCAGTGCTTCTCCACTGTTTGCAGGATTCATCAGTAGCTTGTTATGTTTGTGTTTTTATTGTATGTAAATGAGTAACATTCTTTTATTCACTGTCCTTGCTGCCTCGCGTCTCCTAGGAGGTTCCCAATCACGGTTTTCGGCAAGGCATGAAGCTGGAAGCTGTTGATCTAATGGAGCCACGGCTGGTGTGTGTTGCCACGGTGACGAGGATTGTGCACCGGCTACTGAGGATCCACTTTGACGGCTGGGAAGATGAGTATGACCAGTGGGTGGACTGCGAGTCACCTGACCTCTACCCTGTGGGCTGGTGTCAGCTGACAGGCTACCAGCTCCAACCCCCCGCCTCACAGAGTAAGGACATGATACCTTTCAACCATTCCCCCTAGAATAAGAAAACCCTGACGCCACTCTAGTCATCAGAGCATCAGTGTCAGTCTATATTTGCAGCAGAACACTTGATGTATAGCATGTGAGCAAAAGGGAATTAAATGAGGGTGGTAACCTGCAGTCCTGTCACATTTAACTATGCCTGGGTGCTGTCACATTGGAGGCTGTTACATAGGCAATCCAATAAATGATGACACTGATGAGTAAACGGAACAAGGCATCTAAAGGGTTGATTGAACGAGTGAGAGGCGGGAACAGGCGGTGGCCACGGAGAGAAATATTATTAGAGATAGATGATATTATTTTCTAACTCACAGCTGTAGTGTGTGTAATTAAGATGCACATATTTCTTGTTGTAGTCTTTACATATTCTTGTACGTACTGTGTATCCTGATCACTTCAGTCATACTGGACTTTATCTCACCACTTATATTTTGATATATTCATTTTATTCTGATCTCACTGTTGATTTTCTTTTCCACATATTTTGTGTTCATATTATAAGATTTACATACTGTCATTACATTTAAACTCATTTTGCGGAGATGTTCAGATACCATTTCTTCCTTCCCCACACGAACTTTGTGTACTGGCCGATACAGAGTACCGATCTGATACAAGTGATGTACATATAATCACTCTCCTTCTACTGGCTCAGGTTAAACCAATAGAACATGAACAAATACAGATAATGAATGACATAGAATGTTGTGTCTATTGTGTTAGACTGTCCACACGTCCCATAGTTTCCTGTTTTATGGCCTGCTTTCAGGTAACAGGGAAATGCCTCAATCTGTACCCAAGCAGAAGAAAAAGGCCCAGCAGTACAAAGGCCAAAAGAAAAGTGAGTAATCCTCTTTCACTGTCAGTTAGTTTCTCTCCACTCTTTCCTTCTCCTTCTCCTTTTCTTGTTTCTCTTCCTGTCACTGGTTACACCTGTGGTGGAAACTCTGCTGCTCTCCGATGGTTCACCTGTTGGGCATGTCCGGAATATTTTCATCTGACCTCTTGTGTCACATTTCAGGATCTTGTAAAAAGGCGAGCGTTGTGTCTTTTTCCCTTTGGAGTGGCACAGTAGTGTGTGAGATTTAGTTTCAGTGTCTGAGATGCTTCAGGTTATCTGAGAGCAGAAGGCCTGGTGTTGCATCCCTATTCAGGTCCAAAGTTTCAGATCACAAAAGCAGATGCTAATGCTAAATTGATGCACGTTTTGCTGAACATGCAGTACATATGGAAGTCTATGGCTGCCTATATCAAAATGAAATCATTTTGTGTACGATGTATGACAAAATCCAGATTAAATTAGTAAAATTTGCTATTTCAAGTTAAAAAATGTACAATTACTAGCAAAATTAAACCTTGACTAACAAATAATTTTCAGTGCATTCTATAATGATAACAAAACTGCATGTAGAATTGTTCACCCCTAAACTTGAAAATAGTTAAATACTGGTAAAAAAAGAGGACTTTTCCATGTTTGTTTTTTTAGTGATCAATGTAATAACAGTCGGTTTTGACAGATTTCACGAAAGAGGCCTCAGAGAACAGCCATTACAAAAAGTTTAATTTTGCCAGGCCTATTTTAAATTTGTCCAGCATTATGAAGTTGATCGTAATGATAATAACCAGGAAAAATGCAATTTCCATTTCTTCCCAAATCCCAAATCCTGATTTTTACATAGTTTACACATTGTCTGCCAGTTTAAAGATAAAACAAAAATTTCTTATTCAGTTAAATTTTTCTCAAGGCAGCGTTTTGCTTTGGCGTGCACTGAAAATCATTTGTTAAATTTCACATTTGTAGTAATTATTTTGATTGTGGACATGGAATTTATATTTTGTCATGATCATGGAAAATGTAATGAATATTAAATTATTGAAATATTGGAAGTTACAGATTTCCATACTTTTGGCACAGTTGTAGCCTCGTTGATAGCTAACAGCATCTGCTTACTGCGGTCTGGCAGTCTGTTTACAGCTTACCAGGGGCTTATTCAGATGGGTATATCAACGCAGCGTGAGGCTAAATTCAACTTTTCAGCCGAAGCTCTAACCTTTTTAACTTTCCTACCTAATACATAATCAAACATCAACACGTTCCAGTTGAATTGAAGTGTGTAATAAGCCCCTGGTAGCTTACCCGAGTCTGGCTTGGTGTTTAGAGAGGAAGATTCCGGTTGGTCGACGGCCCTTCAGTCAGGCAGGCAGGAGGAGGAGCAGCTTCTCGGGGGACGAAGAGCAGAGTCCGCCCCCTTACCCTGCCCAGGGGCCCACTCGGCCCCGACCCCGAACCCACCTTCACCAAACCCACAAATCAGGTAACATCTCACTAACGATCAACCCAGCATGGCACCGAGCCGTCTGAGGCTCGACGCTGTTCTTACAGGAGGCAGTCGCTGAGTGTCGCTCGCAGGGCCTCGCTGCGGATCTGGATGCTGCTGATGCTGCTGATGCTGCATGTTCTACTGTTACATCAACCTTTACGTTCATTGTCCTCACATGAATATTTCCTCATGTCAGTGAAGGTCTGTTTGTTTCATTTGCAGGAATTTCTAGTGTTTTGTCTCCACTTTGAAGCAGCCATAACGCATGTTTCATTTTGTTAGTAGTGAAAGTAGTTATCTTGATGCTCAGAGTGCATGTGACATTAAGATTGACACCTGGAACAAAGAGAGGCTCCTGTATTTGTCTCAAAATGCATGAACCAGACCGGCTCATCTGTGCCGCTGTTCTCTCTCTCTTATCTGTCTCTGTCCCTGTCTGTAGAGTCTCTCCTGCGGATGAAAGAGGAGACGGCCGAGGTGGACGAGTTCACCTTCTCACAGGGCACATCCGACCAGGAGAGCAACGGCTCGGGCAGCTACTACATCAAACAGGAGCCCTGAGGTCATGAGGTCGGGACAGCAGGACCAACCCGGGTCAAGACACACCTCTGGAAAAAAAACAACCCAGCGAGGATCAGGAATGTGGGGAGTCAAACTAGCCTCGATTCCCACTCAGACCAATGCCACAGGCCTTCTATGGAGTCCATACAGCAGATAGCGATGATAAAGAGAAAGGGGTGGCTTTCATGCTTTTGAATTGAACATCCCTCTGAACAGTTTTCTAACCTTGTAGCTGCGTGTGCACATAATCACTCACAAAAACCTGTATGATGGAGAGCTTGAAAAGCACCCGGGGTCGGGCCTGGGTCACATGCGTTTGGGCATTCTCTTTCGTACCACCCTCATTCTCTCCTCTCCAGTCGGAAACATCCCGACCACACCGGATCTCGGACGGATTAAAAAACACAACCTTTTTTCTACAGAAATGGGGGGGTCCTGCAAGTCGACATCAGCCCACCCTGCCTCTGCCACAATCTGGGCCACGCACAGAGACCTGTAGAAACTGTGAGAACCATTTATTGAGCCAGGTCTTCACTTTTGTTTTGTTCGTTTCAGTTTGTTTTCAGGTCAGAGTGTCAGCCACTGAACGGGGCCGAGGTGAGAAGAGAGGCTGGCAGCGAGAAGGACAGTGTTGTGTATATTTTGATTATTTTCTTCTGAACAATATTGCCAGGTGGACTTTTACTTTGTTAATAGTACTTGAATATTTTTTTGCTTTATTTTGTAATGATTTTGGAGTTGTTTTTGTCTTAATGTACTTATTTTTGCATTTACATTTTTGGTGGCTGTGTAGGGAAACTTAATGTGCATTGTTTCATAAAAGTGATTATATTCATATAGTATGTGGAGACCTATTCAAATAGAACTACAGAGTATAAATATTAAGGATTGTGATTCGAAGAGAAATCTTAGTACTGATATTGATCTTTTTTTTTTTTCCCAATATTGGACAGAAGATTTCCACAGCTGCATTCATTTCTGATTCAAACATTACTGAAGCAAAGTCACCAAAATGAAACTATCGGGCTCTGATATTTTAATTATGGATACATTCTTCAATGATTTGTTGATTCATACTTTGGAACATAGTGGCAAATGCCCATAAGAAAGTATTTAGCTGGCAATGATATGATACAGGAGAGCAGCCTTATCCTTACGTTTGAGAAGCTGGAACTGGCATCTTTTTGGGGCATAAATAAATTATTAACATTATTGGTGATTTTTTTTAACTTATAGATTAATTGTTTCAGCTTTAAGATGTCCACATTAAAGCTGCACCTGCTGCCTTTAGAAGGGCTGTTTGTTTTTTTTATTTGGTGTATTTCCCCTCTATTAAGTGCCAGTCTGTACGTTAGAGTGATTGGATGTAACATTTAAATTGACATGGTGCAGCTTTAAACAGTAATACACCTTTACCATTGTTTTATGTAATTACAGAAGTCCTCCTGCACATTCCATTGGGCCTTCACTAACACTGAACGGATTGTACATCCTAACGTCCTTCAGCTATGTTAAGTGGGCATTGTGGGGAATATCTGGTATCCACATTTTGAGCTACACCGCCCCCCAAAACTGCCCCATACACAACCTTTCCTTCCTGGTAATCCTGCCTTTAGGTTACTATACATAAGCCAGGATAAGCTTAATCAAGAGAGCACATATCTAATGAGGTAACAGTGTGGGGTGGCTCCGATAGCTCAATGTGGAGCTTTAGGGACCTACAGTAATCACAGCTCCCACAATGCCACTAACTGTGGATTAGCCATCTTCTACCTTGTACGAGTTTCCATTGTGAATATATGAGGGGCTTTGTGTTGTAATGTTTAACAGAAATCATGAAGCTGTGGAGATAAAAACATTTTTTCAGTTTAAAAAAAAAAAAAAAAAAACTCACCTTAGTTTTACAGACATACTAAATGGGAAACAAATGAGCATAGTGTGACTGTACGTGAGCAGCAGGGTATGTTAATAGTATAAAAGAGAAACCTTACTGGTATGATAGGGTACAGTCTGACATGTTCCAACTGTCCAACCCTACAATATGACCTTTACAGTTTGGATGTAGCTGCTGTCAGGGAGGAAGCTGTCTTATTGGAAGACTCAGCTGACCAATGTTGGCCTCATATCAGCCGGACTGTCCAGGATATTGAAATGTTGTGGATGCAGGCAGATGCATTACTTGCATATAAAGGTCGCACTACAGCAGTGATTCAGATTGCAGATATCAGGTGTTTCTGTTCTGCTTTGGACCATGTCTGCTGTATTTATACCCAGAGGGTACACAGGTATCCATCTGGAACTCATGTATACGGAGTCTGGAGTATGCCACTAGAATGATTTTACATTTATTCAGTGTGATTTATCACCAATTAATACTTTAAAAAAGCAATTAGGATTGGATTTATTTTCTATCTATTTTATTTGATTTTATTTTTATGTAGAAAAAGCATTAAACCAAAAATTACATAATTGAATTTGCTAATATTAATGTTTTCTTATTTTGTCAGTAAATTATAAATTAATAATTGAGTTTTTCAAATGCAATGGCAGAATAGTAATAATAATAATAATAAAAAAGAGTAACCCACATAATGCCTTTATGTAGTGCCCCTATCTACAGGAACTCTAATTTGCTGTCATGTGTTTACAGGACTCAGACAGACCTCTGTGTGTTGAACTATATGTCATATTAAGTTGCACACTGCTTACACAACTGTAAATTAAAGAATTATCTTAAGTAAATGAAATAATAAAGTCATATTGAAAATCCTTTTGAAAAATAAATTATCGATTCCATATTTAACCAATTACTAATTTAAAACATGAGATACCTTTTTAAGATATCTGTATAAGTATATACCATTATTAATTGCCTGATTTAATGATTTTATATTGCTTTTTAAAAAAAGATAAATGTATTAATTGAATATAATGAAACACTGAAAATGTGGCACACTCAAGCCTCCATACCTTCAGCATTTGTAGCGTCAAACTTTGGTTTCTGTAATTGAAAATAAGAGGTTGGAAAATCTGCCTTGGTTAAACAGTCTCATAATCGAGCAGTTTTGTTGTCCACATGCGAAAAATAAGTTAAATGTTTTATTAGGGTAATATGCAAAGCATTAGTGTTTCTATTGCTTAGGTTGTTCTCATGTCAGAGCCATATGTATGCAAGCTAGTTTATGATTCACCTGAGCCACAGAATAACAGGTTTGTTGTTAATAATGAAACATGAACAATGCACTGCTTTTCCAATAGTCTCTGAGGGCAGCATTCACATAAGACGACAGGATCTAAAAGTGGCATAAATATATAGATTCTATATATATATATATCTCTATTCTTCATGACTATGATGGTATGGAGTAACAAATCCGGATTAGTCAGAAATCCATGCTTGGCCTTGGAAAAGACAAGACTCCTCCTTTCATTCTTCTTAGAGCTAGACTTTTGCAGCTGTTTATCTACTACCTCCTGATGCTAGCCACGTTTAGCTAAAAACAAGCGTGTGAAATAGACTATAGCAGTGTGTTAGCATATGCAAATGAAAATGATTACCTAAAAATGATCCACTTGAAGACTAGACACCAAACATGGAAGAATTTTATCACAGCACATGAGGTAGTCTTCTAATTTGAATGATGCAATAATAATAGATCCCATATTATTTTGCTATGTGAAATAAACTTATAGCACCCTCAAATGTCATGATCACTACATTAATATAATTAACATATGAGATAATTTAACAAAATTGTATTGTATCTGTGATTTTTGTGAGCAAGGGTTCATATACAGAAAACTCGGTGTATGACCAAAGGCTGTATTGAAATGCAGAGCGGATTTAAGATTCTCAGTGACGGTAAAAGATCCATAATTTCTCTTTCTACCAGTAAGGTTCATGATTCAATTCTCAGGAAGTTTGTGTTTCTTTATTTTGTTTGGTTGTAAGGGTCGTAACTACAAGTCTGAATCAGCTGTTTAAGAGCTCAAATGCGTCTTCATTATGTGCATCTCTGTACGGAAGCAAATAAGTGCTGTAATCACTAGAATCTGTTAAGCGACTGAAATAGTACTTGTGTAATTCAAGTGGTTGTAATTCCAGTCTTTGAAATTTTCAATAGGTAATTTCAAGTGGTACAATATAAAACAGTTTTTATATATATATATCTTTTTAAGCAATTATTTGTTTCAGTTGTATGTTCATGGTTCGCAGTTTCATGGATGGAGAAAACCATATTCTAGTTCATTTTAAAAGTAAATCCTGTAATCCTGTGTGCCTTCGTTATAATCTTAATCAAGATAATTATCTTGTGCTCGCAAATTACTATGTAAAATAATAAT